TCTTTCTTCTTCTTCTTCTTCTTCTTCTTCTTCTTCTTCTTCTTCTTCTTCTTCTTCTTCTTCTTCTTCTTCTTCTAAATTTTCCCAAAACTTCAACAAATGACTTAGGCGCTCGTGGAACATCACTGACGAATATGTCTCTCCTCTCCCCACCAGGTCTTCGCCGCTACAGTTTCCGCGGCAGTCTGTACGCCTTCACGTCCCAGATCTGGCTGTTCCCTGACGTGCGCGTGGCCGTGTACCTGGCGCTCAGCGGGCCTGGCTCGGAGCATGCGCAGCGAGCCCTGGAGGCCATCATGTACAACACGGCGGACGTGGCTCTGCGCAAGGAGCCGTGGATGGACACGGAGAAGGCGTGCTGCTGTCAGGAGATGGACTACGACTACAAGGACTACTACTATGATGAAGACCACGACACGGCGCCTATGGAACAGAGGCTGGTTCAGTACCTCGCGCCTGTGGACCGTTATGTCGGGAAGTACGGTAATGGATTTGTTGGGAATCTGATCGTAGAGGCGAACGAAGCCGGCATTTTGAATCTGATGCTTGGGAAGAACTTGAAAGGGGAGTTGACTCCTGAGAAGGCGGCGTCAAAAATGAAATTCATGGCTTCTGATTGGTTGTCGAATACAGAGGAATGGAGTATGGAGAAGATGGTAGAGTTTTTGTACAAGTCTGGCTCAGGGGCTGAGGGAGAAGGAAAACCGTACGATATTGTTCGTCTTCATGTCTCTGACGCACTTTTCTACGATTTCGAGCGCGGGAAAATGTTTGAAACAATGCTTTTGCCTGAAGAGAGTGAAGAAGTGATGGACAACACAGATAAAGAGGTTGCCGTAGCCCCTGTAGAAGATAATAACGCCAACGTGATTCCTCAGGGGAATGCAGGCGTCGACGACCACATGACGGAAGACAACACCGGCAACAACGAGGTAGTAGAGGAGGAGGAGGAGAAGAAAGTCGATGTCCTGAAAGAGGAGACGGCTGATAAGGTCCCAGTTGACGAAACAATCGACCCCCCAAAGGAGAAAGAAATAACCGAAAGCAGCCCAGATGTCACAAACGAAAAAGACGAAACAACTGAAGACAAAGACAACGCGATTGTCGGCAAAGACGACACACAAGACGATACCTCCGCCAAAGACGACATGGAAGACGACTTGAAAAATGGCCCCCTGAACGATGACAATCAGGCAAGCTCACCGGAAGAGGTACCGCCCAAGGAAACCGGAAGTGAAAAGTTCCTGGGGAGCGGACGTGACACCCACAGTCATGCGCAAGGCGGCTATGAAATCGACGGCGGCGATCATGTCTCGGGGGTTCATTCTGTCAAAGATCAAGACCAAAGCAGAAGAGCGACAAATGCAGACACTACCTCGGGACCCGGGAACGCCGCACAGTGTTTAACGCGGCCCTGGGTCTCCTTGCTACTAGCTTCTTCTCTTATCATGTACTATATCGCCATGTTTTAAAATAATGTCATTATTTAATTTCTCTTCAACTTCCACTTTAGGATCTTCAAAGACTATTCATAGATAGGTGGACTGATATATTTACATTACAAAATGGGTCACTGTAGTATTTATTACAAAATCAATTTTCTATAACTCTTTTTTTTCAAATATCAAGTGGCTGTTTCTAGCCACCTTTGCCCATTGTTCTAACATCGCGCCTTGAAAAAAATCATGTTGTGTACACTGTGGGTAGTGTGACTCATCTCATAGTACGTCAGCGTTTGTAAAGTGTTTGAAGGGTGATCGTTGACAGGTTCTTGCTTCCTTGTGTTATATTGTTTAGCCTTCTTATAATACACTTACGATGGTGCTGACGCAAGCTGGCCTCATCTGAAAGGCTTAAAAGTGATTGTTGGAAATATTCATCCAGAGATTTATAGATGTTCTTGTCATCGTATTTAGGCATACTCTTATTCTGAAGTAAAAGGAAAGCTGTAAAATAGCTCTTTAACTACTTTGAGTCATCAGAGGAAAGAGACTGAATCAGTCGATTGTTGTTTCGTTTTTTTGGTCAAATATTAAGTAAGCTCTCTCAGAATAGTCCACCTTGCTATTAGTGTCGTTGATTTGCTTTGTATCAAAGTGAACGGTCGAAGGGGCGAACGATCATGAATCAGCTTCGTTTTCTTAACGATACTTTCTTGGAGCCACTGTGGCTCAAAATCGTCTCGTCAATTTACAGGAATTTCTGCTATCAACGCAATGCATTTATTGACTTGCTCTTTTGAACAAGAAAGTGTCATAAAAATAGATATAGAAATCTTCATGAACGCTGTTTGTATTATGCGGAATTTTATAACACAAACTATTAGGATTTCAATCAGAACGATACCACGCGACTTAGGCGAGAGTTGGCTCTGCAAAAACATTCAGAACGGAATATCTTGGTCCATAAAGTACTCAACGTTATGAGCACGTAAATAAATTGTACTTCACGTCTCTTCTAGGCAGATGACATTGATAGCCCGGGGTTGTGTAGGGGGTCGATATGAAGTACGTGTTTGTGTACTGAGTGGGCTGTACTGTGATTGCTGCATTCCTTTTATGACGTCATTGATCTGCTCTTCACCTATTGAAGTGACGCTTAATCTGTTATAAATTATATTTATCGAGTTTCTATCCAAATGCAAAAACCATTTGAAAATAAATGTGTGGGTTTTTGTCCGTCCCAGTGGCATTTTGAATATAATCCATAGAAGCAATAAGTAGATCTAGTAGGACTATCAAAAGTTTGGACGGTAACGAGAAGGTTTTGGTGATACGAAAATTTCCTATCGATTGTCAAACGAGCCATTGGTCGGAGCGGGGATTTACTTTGTTACAGACTTGATTCTACAGTGCCTTGTCTGTTTTGAATGGTAGACTCTATGGCTTCCCCGACGAACATTATAGAATTATTTACCCTTGTGGCGTTTCATTTCTTTAGTTGTTTTTATAATTATTTATTTATTTATTTATTCCTTTCTAAAGTACAAGTCAAGGTAGTAAACGAAACTCACTAAATCGAGGTGGGATTGTCCTTCAAACGCGAACTATCTGAACTGAGCAGTCGAAAGCCACCCCTTTCTGACGTCACTGTGCTCAAACCTGGAAGTAGAACCCTGTATTTTTAGCCTAGAGTATACCAATGAGTAAATGTACTATTTAATTTTCGTAACGTTGAATGCCTCATGGTTGTTTTTGTACATTGTTATAATCTATGCTCGCTCGTTTTGCCTGTGGTAAAGGGATGTACTTTTTCTGATTCCAGTTTAAATTATACCATGTAAGTAAATGTTATGTTGCCATGATTACACCATATTCTTTCCACCGATCGGTAAGAGTGTCCTTGAGCCCTGGATCTTAAAATGAGTTTTCAAAGCGTCTTTCGCGTGTGGCGCTACGGTGACCACGGCTGGCGCCACTGAGAGTGGAGGTCCCGGGTGTGTAAAGTGGGTCCGGGATGTGTAAAGTGGGTCAAATAACTTCTGAATGGAGTAGGGCTCAAGTAAACTTTTACCCCCGGTATACATCGGGAAGTTGGAAAAGTCAAACTCATGAGATGTTGTGTCTGCTCCTGTTCATCTCTGTGTGCCCCACCCAGAGCAGGTGTCTATTTCTTCCCTTTCATTCCACTTAACAACAGCATGTATAAATCAACAGTCTCTGAAAGCCAACCTCTTTGTTGATATATATATATAT